AAGCTGGACGGATACAGGGAGCATTCCTGAAACGACACTGGCACGGTTCGAACAGACAGTGAACGAGCATGGGTTACTTAGCACTGGTTATGGCAACAGCAGAGGAGGAGAAGCTGAGTACGGATCTACCTGCAGCAGTGAAGGAGGTCTTGGAGCAGTACAAGGATATAATGCCCGACGACCTACCTGCAGGCGTACCTCCAGTACGCACCTACAAGCACGAAATCGTGGAGGAACCAGGTGCAAAACCCGTCCCACGTGCACCATACCAACTGAGTCCGACCAAACTGACAGACATGAAGAAACAGATAGAGTATCTACTGGACAGAAAACTGATCCGCCCCTCCACCTCTCCCTACAGTGCACTGTGAAGAAACGACGAATGAATGCACTAGGAAACAGGTGGGTACAAGTAGGAAAACCTAAAAGTGTTGTACCCCATATTGTCACCCCACTGTAGCATATCAGTTTGACACACACCCATAGGCAAAGTAGGAGAGAGCAAGAGGTCACAAGACCAGTCAAGCAAAGCACAGTAAGCTCAGGGTGGATCACAACGTCACCACACATTCCGAGCACAAGTTCATATGCAAGATTATATAAAAAGGCAAACAAGCAAGTGCAGGTATAGATAGATCACAGTACAAGCAAGGTCAAGCAGTGAGCAAGTGAGGCCAAGTAGGCACAAGACCTAGCATCGTACAAAAGCGCTGATGATCACAAGGCGGAAGTGCCTTGGTAAAGATATCAGCAGCGTTGGCCTAAGAGGCCACGTAAGCAAGGCGCAGCTGACCACGCTGCTGCAGCTCACGAGCAAAGAAGTAGCGAAGAGCAATGTGCTTCGTTCTGTGCTCCAGTCTGTGCTCCTGACACAAGGCCAGCATGGCTTTGTTGTCTATGTACAAAACTGGAGGAGAACGATGCGGCTCTCCTAGATCAGTCAGCAGGTAGGTGAGCCAGCGTAGCTCCTGTGCAGCCATGGCCCCCGCGTAGATCTAAGCCTCACAGTTGAAGCCGAGAACAGAAGACGAGCGGCTAGACCGCCACGAAACAGAGCCGGAACCAAGGCTGAAGGTGTAACCCTGTGATGACCGCTGCGTAGCCTGGTGTCTCCCAGGAGCAACATAGCGTGCCAAGATGCTAAGAAGGTATGCAAGGTTAGGTCGAGTGCAGGTCATCAGGTACATGAGGCAACCAACAAGCTCTGGGTATGGGACACTCGGCTCTACGGACTCATCCGAAGGCAGAGCTGAGAGCGAGTGGCGAGTAGCCAGAGGAGTGGCCTGAGGCGAGGAGTACGTGAAATCGAAGCGCTGAAGGACCTGCTGCACCATGTGTAACTGAGTCAGGGTAGTGGTGCGCTGTGCTCTATCCCGGGTGATCTGCAAGCCAAGGTAGCTGCACAGTTCACCCTGGTCTGTGCACATGTGTCTCTTCTGCAGCTCGGACTTCACGTGGGCGAGTCCAGCAGTGTCAGCAGTGGCAAAGACCAAGTTGTCGACGTACACGATGATGTAGAACGACGGCAGATAGGTGTCGGTGCGCAGAAACAGCGATGGGTCGGCAGTAGAAGGAGCAAACCCAAGAGCCGCAAGTGTAGTCCTCAGTGTGTCGTGCCACTCACGGGGTGCCTGGCGGAGACCGTAGACTGGCCGCCGGAGGCTGCACTGGGTACCGGGAGGAAACGACCCAGTGAAGCCAGGTGGGCGGCGCAGCCAGATCTCCTTGTGCAGGCTGCCCTGCAAGAAAGCTGTGCTGAAGTCAAGAGAGTGAAGCTCGTAGTCGCGCTGAGCAGCTATGTACAGCAGCACCCAAAGAGTGGTGATCTTCGAGGTGGGAGAGAAGGTCTGAAAGTAGTCAACTCCCTGCCGCTGATTGAAGCCTCGAGCCACGTAACGCGCCTTGAAGACAGGCGGAGAACCCGGCGGCCGCTTCACCCTGAAAATCCACATGTCACTGACGATGTTCGCCCCAGGTGGGGGAACCTCGTCGACGTAGGTGCCTGTGGACTTCCAGGAAGCCATCTCTGCGTCCATGGCTGACTGCCACTGTGAGGAGTAGGGACCCTCGATCGCCTCAGCGTACGATCGAGGAGTCGGGATGTCTGGTGCATCCGGGTCTCCCTCAGGGGCAATCAGCATGGACAGGAGATGAGGCAAAGCTGCAGCAAAACACTGGAACTCCTCCTGCCTGTCCTCAAGGACGTCCGTGCTAAGAGCACACTCACCCCCGACGGACGGAGGACAGGCAGACTCCGACTCACCAACGAGACTAGTGGCATAGTCCAGATGACAGCGAGCAGCAAAGTCGACAAGCTCAGCAACTAGAGTAGACGCAGCTGTGGACGCAAAGGAAGGGTCAGTGACAACAGTAGTGAGAAGACGCGTGACAGTAGGACTGGCAGCACGAAGAGAGTCAGATGCCGGGTCAGCAAGAGCAAGAAGAGAGGACTCTAGAGGAGACGGCAACGGGATACGCAATGGAGCAGTGGAAGGATGCAGTGCCATCTGGTGTGTGCCGGGGTCCGTAGGAGGACGCTGACGCGGAACACGACGACTAGTGCGAGCAGCACGAGCAGGCGACGCGGAACGAGACGCAGGCGCACGACGCTCAGCAAGACCTCCAGTAGGGCCGGTGTAGGGAGAGGGAGCAGGCAGTGGGGAGGCAGGCTGTAACTGTGACTCAGACTGGACAGGTGGCGGACTCTCTAAAGAAGGAGCAGGACCAGCAGACGGCGGGAGACGAAGAACCTGCTCAAGGAGCGGTACGAAGTACGGCCGTGGCCGCGCAGCGCCTCCAGAGCCAGCAGGGACAGCACCAGCACTCCCAGCGGCAGCACCAGCACTAGTAGTACCCCTAGCCGCAGCAGCGCCAACCCCAGCACCCTCAGAAGTACCAGCGCCAGCAGCACCTCCAGCGCCAACACCCTCAGTAGCTCCACCATGACGCTCAGCCCGACCACCGGAAGACTCGACAGCCACAGCTCAAGCACCTCCAGCAGCTCCTGCTCCAAAAGCTCCACCAGCAGCTCCAGCACCGCCAGCAGCTCCAGTACAAGGAGTACCCCCAAGCCCAGCAGCTCCAGTACCTCCAGTACGAGCACCTCTGGGACCCGTGGCACCAGCACCCTCAGTAGCAGTAGAAACTCTACCTCCAGCAGCACCTCTAGCTCCAGCAGCACGACTCCAGCGGCGAGCAAACCACTCGCGCAGCTCCTGTGGAGAGGGTAGCTCCCGCCGGGACGAAGCACCTGAAGGACCTCCAGACCCAGCACCGAGAGAGGCCACACGAGCAGGCCCAGCACCCCCAGGCTCCGCACCACCAGGCTCCGCACTCCCAGGCTCCGCACCCCCAGGCTAAGCATCCCCAGGCTCAGCACCCCCAGACTCAGCACCCACAGGCTCAGCAACCCCCGACCCCGCACCCGCAGGCTCAGCAACCCTAGTAGTACCAGAGTCAACAGCTACCTCAACAGGCTCGACTGCGTCTCCCTGGGACACACTTGATGGGGCAAGACCCTGAGGGGGGAGGGGGTCTACCGGGGGGGGACCTGGCGCGAGGAAGAGCGGCAGCGGGGGGAGGGGCGCAGTGCAGTAGGGGAAGAGACGGTAGTAAGGAACCGACTCGTCAAAAGTGACATCCTGGGAGGACAGAACACGGCGCGAGGTGGGGTGGTAAAACTGCCAACCAGGCGGGTTAGGGGGGAAGCCAAGGAAGACGCAGGGAACAGCACGAGGGGACAGCTTGTCCGCAGACAAGTCGCGGACAAACGCCCGAGATCCCCAGACACGAAACGCAGACGCATCGCCAACCTTCCCCGTCCACCGCAGGGTGGGGGAGGTCTCTGGCATGGAGATCCGGGGCCGAAGGTTGATCTGATGCGCCGCGTACTGAACCGCGAACGGCCACAGAAAATGGGGAGCAGCCGCATGGATCATGGACGTACGAGCGATGTCCATGACCATGGCAATGCAGCGCTCAGCAATCCCATTTTGGTGTGGAGAGGCCGGAAGCGTGAACGTCTGGTGGATGCCCAGTGCACGACAGAAGGCTCGCTGAAGGTCAGAGGAAAACTCTCCGCCCCTGTGAGAGTGCAGACGCAGAACAGGAAAGTCCGAGCCGTCCCTGAGCTGGAGCCGAGCTGCGCGGATCCAATCGATCAACACCTCACTGACGTCACCCTTGCTGCGCAACGGGAAGACCGTGATGTAACGCGAGTAGTCGTCAACCACCAACAGGAAGTAACGCTCGTGACCCTGGCCACGGACGCGGGCGGGGCCCCACACGTCCAGGTGAAGTGTGTGCAGCAGAGCCTCTGTCGGAGGAAACTCGGAAGAGTGAGGAGCAGCGCGCTGCCGCCCCTCGACGCAGGGAACGCAGGTAGGGGCAGGCCCCGAAGGGAGGGGAGGGAGGGACCGGGGGAGACCAGAGACAAGGTAACGGGAAGCCGTTCCTCAGAGACGAGGCAGGGAGGGGTGACCAAGGCGGTGGTGCTAGAGGAGGGTCCGGTGGGACAGGAGACGACACGAGCAGGGGGCAGACTCAGGACCAGACCTGGACGCTGCAGCAAACACCTGACCCGACGCAGCTACCTGACCAGACTAAGCAACCGGAGGAGACTCAGTAGTTAGTGTGTACAGGCTCGACCCCGGCTGACGGGTAAACGTGGCCAAGTGTCGGCCCGTGCGAGCACACGTACAGTGGGTCACCCGCTGACTCGCAGGAGTGAACTGGTCCACCCCTCCATCCTGTAGATCAGCACCACTCACCAAGTTCGTAGAGAACGAGGGGAGGTAAAGACTGGACAGGGTGCCAGAAGGGGCCGCCAGAGAAGGCAGGACAGTGGAGAAGTGGGCAAGGACAGGACTGTCAGAATCCCAACCACTAGACCATTGGGATAAAAGGGCTTGTTTCAGTAGCGGGTCAGTGCGCCCATAACCCCCCAGGAATACACGCCTATAACCCCCCCTAGGATCGATCGGGGATCTCACAGTGTAGCTCTACTGACAAGGACCCCCAGAGGGGTCCGCCAGGGAGACCGCAACCGGCCGACTAAGCGGCGTGAGTGTGGTGCGGTCTTGAAAGAAGGAGCGAGAAGCACCTGAGTCAAGGGTGAAGGTGTGTAAGGCCTGAGCCGACGTGGTACCTGAGAGAGCAGACTCACCAGCACCTGGAACAACAGCCTCACCATCACCTAGAGCAGCAGCCTCACCAGCAGCCTCAATGCCTGTGTCACGCGGAACACACAGGTAACAGTCACCCTCATCACTAGTAGACACAGCATACATGGCAGCAAGAATAGCATCATAATCCAGATCAAAGATAGCAACCCCCGACCTAAGCAGCTCTCTCCAGCGGGGGATCTCAGTGGCGTCAGGGAACTGGAGACGCCACACGTCTGTCAGGCGTCCGAAGCAGCGTTGGGTGGTGTGCGGGCCACGGCACGGTTCACCAGTGCGGTCGCCGGTACGCATGACGTAGGCACAGGGACCAGCACCCCCACCCCACTGACGCGCAGTGTACCACTCACGAAGCTGCTGGGGGGGCGGGGTCTCACGAGTGCGCTGCTGCTGCTGGCGCTGACCACCACCGAAGCCGCCCCGCTTTGTAGAGCCACCCCGACCAGCTCCACCGCCGCCGCTGCCACCTCCGCCACCGCCTCCTCCTCTGCCTCCTCCGCTCCCACCGCCACCGCCGCATCCGCCTCCGCCTCCACCGCCGCCAACGAAGCTCCCACCCCCGCCACCACTCCCACCGCCACCCCCACCCCCGCCGCCGCCTCCACCGCCACCTCCACCGCCCCCGCCAGCTCCTCCAGTGCCCTTGCCCCCCTTGCCCTTGCCGCTGCGGCGTCTCCCGCTAAGGGCAGACGCAGCGCCGACCGAGTCGGTGCCAACGAAGTCGACGGCAGCAGCAGAGGCAACAGAGGGCAAGAGGGGGGAGGGGGAGCACCCTTCAAAGAAGGGGGTACGAGGGTCACCATGAGAGGCTCCTACAGCGACAACACTCTTCTCAGCTGCTAGGAGGCGCTCCTCGAGGAGGTCAACGGTGAGTGTGGTGGGGCAAACAGAGAGGAAGTGGTCCCTGACCGAGCGAAGGGAGTCAGGGAGCCGGGTGACTATGTAGTAGAGGGTGATGTACATGGGGGGGGGGGGGTGTTCTTGGCGCAGAACTCAGCAGGAAGCGCAGCGCGGTAGCGGGTGTCACTAGTGCGAAGGTGCGTAATGAGGTCAGCGACAGTGGGAAAGGCGGCGAGGTCAGGGAACAGGTACAGCAGCATGAGGCGGCTAAGGGCAGCAGTGGCAGGGGAAGAGTAGCGTGCAACTACAGAATCATACAAGGTCTTAGCACTCTTGTACTGACTAAAGAGCGCGCGCTCAGAGGACGGCAAGTGACTACGCACAGCAAGACGGGCAGCTGCATCGCGTGTGGCCCACTGGGAGCGAACATTGCTGTCAGTATCGGTAGTAGGGGCAGGAGAGACGCCAGACGTGAGATCGAACAGTGAGAGACCGTCTTTCCTATCGCACTGCAGGAAAAGCTGCAGATCATCGACCCAGACATCAAAGTCGACAGCCCAACCCTCAGCATCAAAGGCGAGAGCGCTAGGGGTAGCCATGACAGCAGCAGCAGCAGGCTAGTAGCAGTGGCAGCAGGCGCGGCTCGGCGGTGCTCTTAGCAGGGCGGGTGGGTAGGGGCCCACAAGTGGTGGGGCAGGGCCGAGGCGTGTCGGCAGGGACAGGGCCACGACGGCGGCGTCGGCTTCCGCTGTCGGCGGCGGCGGCGGTCGCGGCCCCGGCAGTGGCGGTGGCAGCGGTCACGGCAGCGGCGGCTGCGGCCCCGGCAGTGGCGGCGGCGGCTGTCGCTGTCGGCGGCAGCCGCTGCTGTCGGCGGCGGCTGCGGCTGTCGGCCGCTGCTGTCGGCGGTGGCGGCTGCTGCTGGCGGCGGCTGCTGCTCTCGTCGGCGGCAGCCACTGCTGTTCGCGGAGGAGCCGAGAAGGGGCCGGTAAGGGCGGCGAAGGGGCCACGAAGGGCCGTGAAGAGGCCGCGAAGGGAGGTGACAGGGTCGAGGCGAGACCGTAAGGGGCCGCGAAGGGCGGCGACGGGCCGAGAAGGGCGGCGACGGGGCCGCGAAGGGCGGCGACGGGGCCGCGAAGGGGCCGCAAGGGGCCTGAAGGGGCCGCGAAGGGCCGTGAGAGGGGCCGTGAGGGTCCGTGAGAGGGGCTGCTAGGGGGGCGTAAGAGAGCGCGACGAGCCGCTAAGGGCAGGGGACGCGACAGGAGGGCAGGCACACGAGGCATGACTCGGGCAGGAGGGAAGCGCACTACGGGCAGGAAAAAAATCGATTTTCGGTGGGCCCTAGGAAACGTTCCCACTAGGGAACCTGCTCTATACCATGTGAAGAAATGAGGAATGGATGCACTAGGAAACAGGAGGGTACAAGTAGGAAAACCTATAAGTGTTGTACCCCATATTGTCTACCCCACTATAGCCTACACAGACTATAGCATATGAGTTTGATATGCACCAGTCCTCTTCACTCCAAAACCAGACGGCAGTTTACGGACGTGCATCGACTACCGCGCACTGAACAAACCGACAGTTAAAAACATATACCCCATACCGCGCATAGACGACCTACTGGACGAACTGCGTGGTGCAACAGTCTTTTCGAAGCTGGACCTACGGTCGGGTTACTGGCAGATCAAGATGGCGGACAACTCGATCCACAAGACGGCGTTCCGTACCAGATACGGCTCCTACGAATACTTGGTGATACCATTCGTTCTCTGCAGCGCACCAGCAACGTTTCAGACGGAGATGAATCACATTCTACGGCCCCTGCTGGACGAGTGCGTTGTGGTGTACCCTATCTACTCCAAGAACATGAAGGAGCACATGGAGCAGCTGGGGAAGGTCTTCGAGATCCTGCGGAAAAACAAATTCTACGTGAAGCTGTCAAAGAGCGACTTTGCACTGAAGAAGGTGTTGTTTCTCGGGCACATGGTGAGTGCCGAGGGCGTACACGTGGACCCGCGGAAGATCGAAGCCGTAAAAAAATGGAAAGTACAAGAGAACGCGAAGGAGTTGCAGCAGTTCCTAGGCTTCGCCAACTACTACAACAGGTTCGTGCCGCAGTACGCTAAGATAGCGGCGCCACTGACCGACCTACTGAAAAAGGATACGCCCTACAAATGGGATACTCCTCATTAGCAAGCCATGGAGCAGCTACAAATAGCACTGACTACGGCACCAGTACTCATCATACCAGATCCAGACACGGAATACGTGGTGGAAGCAAACGCTAGTGACCAAGCAGTCGGAGCAGTACTGATGCAGGATCACGGACGCGGTTTGCAGCCCATCGCCTACCTCAGTAAGAAGCTGCACGGAGCAGAACTAAACTACCCCATCCACGACAAGGAAGCCCTAGCTAAAGACATAGCCTTCAATGCGTGGAGGTGTTACCTAGAGGGAGCCAAGACCACAGTACATATTGACCACTGCAGTCTCAAATACCTGAAGTCACAGCCAATGCTCTTGGGGCGACAGGTGCGGTGGATGGACTTCCTAGAAACTCACTTCCACTACGACATCGTCTACAAGCCCGGGCTACACAACAAGGCAGATGCGTTGAGCCGCCCCAGACATGTAGCAGGCATCCAACTCGACGAGATGAACCCTCTACTCAAGGGTCTATTCCAACATGGGTACTCCGTGGACGCAGAGATTGCTACAGCACATACCAAGAAGCTGTTACAGTGGGAGAAAGACTTAGCTGTAAGGAAGGGTTCAGGAAAGAATTGGGTACCGAATTACGCCCCGCTACGGCAGATCCTATCGGAGGAGTTTCACGACGTACCCTAGACATTTCGGGAGCAACAAAACGTTAGCAGGGATAGCAAAGTTTTAGAACTGGCCTGGGATGGCAGCAGGCGTGCAGCAGTTTGTCACTTGTTGCGACATGTGCCAGTTGATGAAGAGCAGCAAGCAGAAAAAATCAGGGTTACTTCAGCCTCTACCCGTACCGGAGCAGCCATGGCAGGTCGTTAGCCTCGACTTCATCACAGGACTTCCTTCGACCTCACGGGGGCACGATTCCATCCTCGTGGTGATCGATAAGTTCTCCAAAATGGGTCACTTCATACCGACCAATGCCACAGCTATAGCTGAAGCAACTGCTTGCCTCTTCTTCGACCGCATCATCACCATCCACGGCATCCCTGCTACACTCATCTCAGACAGAGACCCAAAATTTACCAGTAAGTTCTGGAAGGAGCTCATGGGACTGTTGGGGACAAAGCTTGCAATGTCTTCAGCGTACCACCTCCAGACTGACGGACAGACAGAGCGACTCAATCAAGTGGTTGAACAGTTACTGAGCACAGCTTGCAAGGACAACATCAGCTACTGGGACACACAGTTACCGACCCTAGAGTTCGCTTACAACAACGCATCACATGCGGCCACAGGGAAAACTCCTTTCTTCCTGTGTTACGGAAGGGAACCACTCACACCACAGCAGCCAACCACACCGGCACACGTCCAAGCCGCACATGACTTCGTCACCACCATGCAGCAGCTATGGGAGAAGACTCAGCGACGACTCACCACGATGCAGACCTCCCAGAGGCAGTATGCCGACCGTTAGCGACGTGATCTCTCAGTAGCAGTCAAAGATCAGGTGCTTCTTGACACGTGCAACTTGAACCTATCTCACCTCCCATCCAAACTCCGGCCTTGCTTCTGTGGACCTTTTCTCGTTGAGGCACAGGTGACGCCAGTTACATTCCGCTTGCGCTTACCAAATACGTGGAAGCTTCACAACGCTTTCCATGTCCAGCTACTGAAGCTCTACAAGGACCCCAACCAACAGTTCCAGGGACGCCAGCTACCGCCACCACCACCTATTCATATACAGGATGAATCTGAGTACGAAGTGGAACGTGTTCTCACTCATCAGCGCCGTGGCGGCAAGACCCTCGAGTTCTTGATCCGTTGGAAGGGATATGACCCCACTGAGGACAGCTGGGTTGCAGAAGCTGGTATGGGCAACGCACGCTGTGCTCTCAAGGATTATCTTGTCAAGCAGGGTGTATCTCACGCCACCCAGCTTTGAGGGGGGAACGTGTGAGAGTAGGACGGCTTATGCCAGCTATGCTCGCTTGCCTTTACTTTATCATGCAATTTCTAGCATAGGATAATCATATGCATGCATGAATTGCTTGATTTCCTAGGCTAGGTGCTTTCCTATATTTTATGATAGTTCAAATACTGAGCTAGGTTGCGTGCACCGAATTCTGGCTTTCCGGTTGCCACCGAATTGCCTTCTACCGAATTCGGGAAGGATCTGTTCGGGACGCTTCGCGACCCGCGGAACCTTTGCATAACACCTGGCTACTAGGGTTTGTGTCGAGCCTAGATCCTTGAGTTGTAACCAGGTGATCATTCAAATCAATTACAATTCTCTTTTCTGAGCTCGATCCTAGATCCTCACAATTGGTGAGGTTGCTGCTCTAGGTGCTGGTGCGTCTCCTGCTGCATGTGCCGATGAGTCTGCTGCTCTAGGCGTTAGTGAGTCCACTGCTCCAGGTGCTGGTGCGTCTGCTCTCTATGGTACTGCGCGTGCTGCGGCCTTGCACACTTTCACCCTTCACTTAGGTGCTTCCCGCTCCTTCTTTCGCGACTGCACCACACTCTCGCCGCTCAGTCGGCGAGTGGCAGTCTCTCTGGCTGACCCCTCTGGGGGTCCGGTCCTTGCACACTCCTCCACGATTCTGCTGTGTCTGGCGGTCCCGTCTGGATCTCTCTCTGGCCTCCACGTCCCCTCGTTCTCCATGAACTTTGTGAGTGGAGCTGACCTTCCGGATGCGTGGGTTGACCAATTTACTCCTGGAGGTCAGCGGCTGACCCAGTGTTCGTGTACTCGGACGGGCCAGCACCTGGCCACGTTCACCCATTAGCCTGGGTCGGGTCTGTACACTCTGACTACCGTGTCTCCTCCGGTTGTTGAGTCTGGTCAGGTAGCTGCGTCGGGTCAGGTGTTTGCTGCAGCGTCCCAGTCAGGTCCGGAGTCTGCCCCCTGCTCGTGTCGCCTCCTGTCTCACCAGACTCACCTCTCGCACCACCGCCTTGGTCACCCCTCCCTGCCTCGTCTCCGAGGCATGGCCTCCCATGTCATTGTCACTGGTCTTCCCCTATCTCTCCCTCCCCTTCCCCCGGGGCCTGCCCCTACCTACGTTCCTTGCATCAAGGGGCAGCAGCGCGCCGCTCCTAACTCCTCCGAGTTCCCTCCAATGGAGGCTCCCCTACAGACGCTTCACATGGATGTGTGGGGCCCAGCCTGTGTCCGTGGCGAGGGTCACGAGCGCTACTTTCTGCTGGTCATTGACGACTACTCGCGTTACACCACAGGTTTTCCCTTGCGCAAAAGGGTGAGGTCACTGAGGTGCTGATCGACTGGATCCGCGCTGCCCGTCGTCAGCTCAGCGAGAGTTTCAGCTCCGACCTTCCTGTTCTGCGTTTGCACTACGACAGAGGTGGAGAGTTTTCCTCCGACCTTCTTCGAGCCTTCTGTCGTGCACAGGGCATCCGCCAGACGTTCACGCTTCCGGCCTCTCCGCAGTAAAATGACATTGCTGAGCGCCGCATTGGCATGGTCATGGATGTCGCTCGTACGTCCATGATCCATGCGGCTGCTCCCCAATTTCTGTGGCCGTTCGCGGTTCAGTACGCGGCGCATCAGCTCAACCTCCAGCCCCGGGTCTCCATGCCGGAGACCACACCTACTTTGCGGTGGACGGGGAAGGTTGGCGATGCGTCTGCATTTCGTGTCTGGGGATCTCGAGCTTTCGTCCGCGACTTGTTTGCGGACAAGCTGTCCTCCCATGCTGTTCCTTGCGTCTTCCTTGGCTTCCCCCCTAACGCGCCTGGCTGGCAGTTTCACCATCCCACCTCGCGCCGTGTTCTGTCCTCTCAGGACGTCACGTTTGACGAGTCGGTTCCTTACTACCATCTCTTTCTCTACCGCACTGCCCCCCTCCCCCCCCCGCCACTCTTCCTCGCGCCAGGTCCTCCCCCTGTAGACCCCCTACCCCCTCAGAGTCCTGCCCCCTCAGGTGTGTCCCAGGTAGACGCAGTCGAGCCTGTCGAGGTAGCTGTTGACTCTGGTGCTGCTAGGGGTACTGAGCCTGCGGGTGCTGGGTCTGGGGGTGCTGAGCCTGAGCGTGCGGAGCCTGGGGGTGCTGAGTCTGGGGGTGCTAAGCCTGGGGTTGCTGAGTTTGGGGGTGCTGAGCCTAGGGGTGGTGAGTCTAGGGGTGCTGAGCCTGGGAGTGCTGAGTCTGAGGGTGCTGAGGCTGGGGTTGCTGAGTCAGGGGGTGCGGAGCCTGAGGGTGCTAGGCCTGCTCGTATGGAGTCTGGCGGTGCTGAGCCTGGAGGTCCTTCGGGTGCTTCGTCCTAGCGGGAGCCACTCTCTCCACAGCAGCTGCGCGAGTGGTTTGTGAGAAGAAACGAGGAATGAGAATGACTAAGTGAAAGTTGGGTACAAATGCAAACCCTAGAAAGCTGTACCCCATATGTGCTACCCCACTATAGCCTACAATAGCTATGTCATATAAATCTGACACACCCCCAAAGGCAAAGTGGGGGAGAACAAGGGGTCACAAGACCAGTCAAGCAAAGCAGAGCAAAGCAAGCTCAGGGTGGATCACAAAATCACCACACATTCCGAGCATAAGTTCAAGGCCACAAGGCCAGTTCACATGCAGGATTACATATATATATAAGGCTAGACAAGCAAGAGCAGGTGTATATATATATATATATATATATGTAACAGTACAAACAAGGTCAAGGGGTGAGCAAGTGAGGCGAGGTAGGTACAAGACCCAGCTGAGTACACAAGCGCTGATCATCACAAGGCGCAAGTGCCTTGGTGAAGATATCAGCAGTGTTGGCCTCAGAGGCCACGTACGGAAGCCGCAACTGACAACGTTGCTGTAGCTCACGAGCAAGGAAGTAGCGGAGAGCAATATGCTTTGTTCTGTGCTCCAGTCTCTGCTCTCGACACAAGGCCAGCATGGCCTTGTTGTCTACGTACAGCACTAGAGGAGAACGAGGCGGCTCTCCGAGGTCAGTCAGCAGATAGGTGAGCCAGCGAAGCTCCTGTGCAGCCATGGCTCCTGCGTAGATCTCAGCCTCACACCTGGAGCCGAGAACAGAAGACGAGCGGGTAGCCCGCCACGAAACAGAGCCGGAACCAAGGCTGAAGGTGTAACCCTATGACGACCGCTGCGTAGCCTGGTCGTTAGCCCAACAAGTGTCTGCGTGCCCAGTGAGGACCATTGGAATCCGCCCTCCCAGCACAAGCCCTGTGCCTGACGTACTGCACAAGTAGCGCAATACCCTCTTCGCTGCAGCCATGTGCTCCGGTCGGTGTCTCCCAGGAGCAACATAGCGTGCGAGAATGCTAAGAGGGTATGCAAGGTCAGGTCGTGTGCAGGTCATTAGGTACATGAGGCAGCCAACAAGCTCTGGGTACGGGCCACTCAGCTCTACGGACTCATCCGAAGGCAGAGCTGAGAGCGAGTGGCGAGTAGGCAGAGGAGTGGCCTGAGGCGAGGAGTACCATGTGTGACTGAGTCAGGGTAATGGTGCGACGTGCTCTGTCCCGGGTGACCTGCAAGCCAAGGTAGCTTCGCAGTTCACCCAGGTCTGTGCACGTGTGTCTCTTCTGCAGCCCGAACTTCACGTGGGCGAGTCCAGCAGTGTCAGCTGTGGCAAAGACCAAGTTGTCGACGTACACGAGGATGTAGAACGGCGGCAAAGAAGTGTCGGTACGCAGAAACTGCGACGGGACGGAAGTAGAGGGAGCAAACCCAAGAGCCGCAAGTGTAGTCCTCAGTGTGTCGTGCCACTCACGCGGTGCCTGGCGGAGACCGTAGACTAGCCGCCGGAGGCTCCACTGGGTGCCAGGAGGAAAAGACCCAGTGAAGCCAGATGGGCGATGCAGCCAGATGTCCTCGTACAGGCTGCCCTCCAAGAAAGCAGTGCTGAAGTCAAGAGAGTGCAGCTCATAGTCACGGTGCGCAGCTACGTGTAGCAGTACCCGAAGAGTGGTCATCTTCGGGGTGGGAGAGAAGGTCTGAAAGTAGTCAACTCCCTGCCGCTGACTGAAGCCACGAGCCACGTAACGCGCCTTGAAGACAGGCGGAGAATCCGGCGGCCGCTTCACCCTGAAAATCCACATGCCACTGACAATGTTCGCCCCAGGCGGGGGAACCTCGTCAACGTAGGTGCCTGTGGACTTCCAAGAAGCCATCTCTGTGTCCATAGCTGCCTGCCACTGAGAGGAGTAGGGACCCTCTATCGCCTCCGCGTAAGAGCGCGGAGTCGGGATGTCAAGTGCATCCGGGGTAAGCAGTACGGACACGAGATGAGGTGAAGCAGCAGCCAAACACTTTAACTCCTCCTGCCTGTCCTCAAGGACGTCCGTGCCAAGGGCACACTCACCCCCGACGGACGGAGGACAGGCAGACTCAGACTCAGCGACAAGACTAGCAGCGTAGTCTAGAGGACAGCGAGCAGCAAATTCGACGGGCTCAGCAACAAGGGCAGACGCAGCAGTGGACTCAAAGGAAGGGTCAGTGACGACAATAGCAAGGAGACGCGGGACAGTAGGACTGGCAGCACGAAGAGAGTCCGACTCCGGGTCGGCAAGAGCAGGAAGAGAGGATTCAGGAGAAGGCAAAGGGGCACGCAGAGGAGCAGTGGACGGACGCAGAGACATCCGGTGCCTGCCAGCTACAAGAGGAGGACGCTGATGCGAACCACGGCCACTAGCGCGAGCAGGACGGACACGCGACGCAGGGCAAGACACAGGCTCACGACGCTCAGCAAGACCTCCAGTAGGACCAGTGTATGGAGAAGGAGCAGGCAGAGGGGAGGCGGGCTGTAACTGTAACTTTGACGGGACAGGCTGTGGACACTCTAAGGGAGGAGGAGGACCATTAGAAGGCGGGAGACCAAGAAGCTGCTGAAGGAGCGGAACGAAGTACGGTCGAGGCCACGCAGTGACTCCAAACAAAGCAGGGACAGCACCAGTACCGCCAGTGGTAGCACCAGCGCCAGCAGCACCTCCTGCTCCAGTACCCCCAGCAGCTCCAGTAGCTCCAGGACCTCCAGCAGCAGCCTCAGCACCAACACCCTCAGCAGCTCCAGCTCCAGTCGTACTCGCATGCCCAACAGCTCCAGTACTCCCAGTACGAGCACCTCCGGGACCCGCGACAGCAGCACCCTCAGTAGCCGAAGAACCTCCAGTTCCAGCACCACGCCTCCAGCGCCGGGCAAACCACTCGTGCAGCTCCTGTGGAGAGAGGGAGAACCTCCAGGCACAGTACCGCCAGACGCGACACGAGCAGGCCCAGCTCCCTCAGGCTCCGCACCCGCAGGCGTAGCACCCCCAGGCTCAGCACCCCCTGTCGTAGCACCCCTAGGCGCAGCACCCCCAGGCGTAGGACCCCCAGGCTCAGCACCCCCAGTCGTAGCACTCCCAAGCTCAGCACCCCCAGTCGAAACACCCCCAGGCGCAGCACCCCCAGGCTCAGCACCCCCAGGCCCAGCACCCCCAGTAGTAGCACACTCAGGCTCAGAACCCCCAGAGTCAGCACCCTCAGGCTCAGCACCCTCAGCAGCACCAGAGTCACCAGCAACCTCGACAGGCTCGACTGCGTCTACCTGGGATGCACCTGAAGGGGCAGGACCCTGAGGGGGGAGGGGGTCTACTGGGGGGGGACCTGGCACAAGGAAGAGCGGTGGCGGGGGGAGGGACGGAGTGCGGAGTGCGGTAGGGGAAGAGGCGGTAGTAGGGGATCGGCTTGTCAAATGTGACGTCCTGAGAGGACAGAACACGGCGAGAGGTGGGGTGGTAGAACTGCCACCCTGGCGCGTCAGGGGGGAAGCCAAGGAAGACGCAAGGAGCGTCACGAGGGGACATCTAGTCCACAGACAAGTCGCAGACAAACGCCCGAGATCCCCAGACCCGGAACGCAGACGCATTGCCAACCTTCCCGATCCACAGCAAAGTCGGGGAGGTCTCTGGCATGGAGACCCTGGGCTGAAGGTTGATCTGATGCGCCGCGTAGCGAACCGCAAACGGCCACAGAAAATGGGGGGCAGCCGCATGCATCATGGACGAACGAGCGACGTCTATGACCATGCCAATGCGATGCCCAGCAATCCCATTTTGCTGTGGAGAGTCCGGAAGCGTGAAGGTCTGGTGGATGCCTCGTGCACGACAGTAGGCTCGCAGAAGGCTAGAGGAGAACTCTCCGCCTCTATCAGATTGCACACGCAGAACAGGAAAGTCTGAGCCGAAGCTCTGACTGAGCTGGAGACGAGCTGCGCGGATCCAGTTGATCAACACCTCAGTGACATCACCCTTGCTGCGCAAGGGGAAGACTGTGGTGTAACGCGAGTAGTCGTCAACCACCAGCAGGAAGTAGCGCTCGTGACCCTGTCCACGGACGCGGGCTGGGCCCCACACGTCCATGTGAAGCGTCTGCTGCGGGGCCTCTGTTGGAGAAAACTGGGAGGAGTGAGGTGCAGCACGCTGCCGCCCCTCGACGCAGGGGACGCAAGCAGGGGCAGGCCCCAGGGGAAGGGGAGGGAGGGACCGGGGAAGACCAGAGACAAGGACACGGGAAGCCATGCCTCGGAGACGAGGCAGGGAGGGGTGACCAAGGCGGTGGTGCCAAAGCAGAGTCTCGTGAGAAAGGAGACGACACGAGCAGGGGGCAGACTCAGGAACAGACCTGGACGCTGCAGCAAACACCTTACCCGACACGGCTACCTGACCAGATGCAGTGACTGGAGGAGACTCAGTGGTGAGCGTGTACAGGCTCGACCCGGCCGACGTGTAAACGTGGCCAAGTGTCGGCCCGTCCGAGCCTCAGTGCAGTGTGTCACCCGCTGGCTCGTAGGAGTGAACTGGTGCACTCCCCCATCCTGTAGGTCAGCACCACTCAACAAGTTCGTAGAGAACGAGGGGAGGTAAAGACCAGACAGGGTGCCAGAGGGAGCCGACGGACACGGGAGGACTGTGGAGAAGTGAGTAAGTTCAGGACCTCAAGAGGGATCTGCCAGAGAGACTGCAACTGGCCGACCAAGTGGCATGAGTGTGGTGCGGTCTCGAAAGAAGGAGCGAGAAGCCCCCGAGTCAAGGGTGAAGGTGAGGGAGGCCGAATCCGACGCAGTACCTGAGAGTACAGACTCACCAGAACCTGAGGAAGCAGACTCACTAGCACCTAGAGTGGTAGCCTCGCTAGCACCTAGAGCAGCAACCACACCAGTACCTAGAGCAGTAGTCTCAATGCCCGAGTCGGGCGGAAAGCACCGGTAACAGTCACCCTTATCACTAATAGTCACAGCATACATGGCAGCAAGAATAGAATCAAATTCAAGGTCAAAGATAGCTACTCCCGCCCTAGACAGCTCGCCCCAGCGAGGGATCTCAGTCGCCTCAGGGAACTGGTGACGCCAAGCGTCCATAAGGCGGCCAAAGCAGCGCTGGGTGGAGTGCGCACCCCCGCACTGCTCACCCGCGCGGTCGCCGGTGCGTAGGACGTAGGGGCACGGACCAGTACCCCCACCCCGCTGGCGTGCAGCGTACCACTCACGGAGCTGTTGAGGGGGGGGGATGTCAAAAGTGCGCTGCTTTTGCTGCTGTTGGTGCTGACCACCACCGGAGCCGACCCTCTGCGCAGCGCCACCCCGACCAGCTCCGCCTCCTCCACCGCCGCCTCCTCCTCCGCCGCCACCTCCGCCACCTCCGCTCCCACCGCCACCGCCGCCTCCGCCTCCGCCTCCACTGCCGCCACCGACACCTCCACCCCCGCCACCACTCCCACCACCACCCCCACCCCCTCCACCGCCTCCACCGCCACCTCCACCGCCCCCGCCAGCTCCTCCAGCGCCCTTGCCCCCCTTGCCCTTGCCTGTGCGGCGCTTACCCAAAGGGGCAGACGCAGCGCTAACCGACTCGAAACTAACAAGGTCGGCCGCAGCAGCAGAAGCAACAGAGGGTAAGAGGGGGGAGGGAGAACACCCCTCAAAGACGGGGGTTCGAGGGTCACCATGAGAGGCTCCTACAGCGACTATGATCTTCTCTTCTGCTAGGAGGGCCTTCTCGAGGAGGTCAACGGAGAGAGTGGTGGGGCAAACTGAGACGAAGTGGTCCCTGACTACCGGAGAGAGTCAGGGAGCCGGGCGACTATGTAGTAGAGGGTGATGTACATAGGGGGGGGGGGGTCTTGGCGCAGAACTCAGCAGGAAGTGCAGCGCGGTAGCGAGTGTCACTAGTGCGGAGGTGCGTAATGAGGTCAGCGACAGTGGGAAAGGTAGCAAGGTCAGGGAAGAGGTACGGTAGCATGAGGCGGCTCAGTGCAGCAGTGGCAAGGGAGGAGTAGCATGCAACTACAGCGTCGTACAAGGTCTGAGCACTCTTGTACTGGCTAAAGTGCGCACGCTCAGAGGTAGGCAGGTGGCGACGCACAGCAAGACGTGCAGCAGCATCGCGCGTGGCCCACTGTGAGCGAATAGTGGCGTCAGCATCAGCAGCAGGGGCAGAAGAGGCACCAAAAGTGAGGTCAAAGAGGGAGAGACCGTCTGCCCTATCGCACTGTAGGAAAAGCTGCAGGTCATCTAGGTGGTGGGCCCTAGGAATCGTTCCCACTAGGGAACCTGCTCAATACCATGAGAAGAAACGAGGAATGAGAATGACTAAGTGAAAGCTGGGTACAAATGCAAACCCTAGAAAGTTGTACCCCATATGTGCTACCCCACTATAGCCTACATTGGCTATGTCATATAAATATGACAGTTTGCTCGGTGCTGGAGCCGTGTTGCTGGAGCTGGTGGTTCTCCATGTGCTGGAGGCCCTGCTGCTGCTGGAGGTCCTACTGCTGCTCGAGCTGCTGGGGTTTCTGGGGCCTTGGGTCCCGGAGGTGCTCGTAATGGAGGTACTCGAGCTGTAGGGCCTGGTGGTGCTGCTGGAGCAGGAGCTGCTGGAGGTGCTGGAGCCGGCGGTGCTGCTGGGGAAGGTGCTGCTGGAGGTACTGGAGCTGGAGCTGCTGGCGCTGCTGGTGCTGGAGGTGCTGCTGGAGCCGGTGCTCCTGTGGGTGATGGATTTGGCGCTTCTGGTGCTGCTGGAGATGCTGCTAGAGCTGGTGGTACTACTGGAGTTGGAGCTGGTTCTGTCCCTACTGGTTCTGGAGGCGCTGCGCGGCCGCCGTCGTACTACGTTCCACTCCTTCTACTGGTCCTGCTCCTTCCTTAGGCCCCCGCCTGTCCAGTCGCAGTCACAGTTACAGCCCGCCTCCCCACTGCCTGCTCCTTCTCCTTACACTGGTCCAACCGGAGGTCCTGCTGAGTGTCGTGACCCTGCGTCTCATCCTGCGTTGCCTGTTCGTGCTGCTAGCACTTGTCGTCGTGGTTCGCGTTAGCGTCCTCCTCCTATCCCTTCCACTGCTCCACAGCGTATCCCTCTGCCGTCTCCTTCTGCGTCCTCTCTTCCTGCCCCTTCTGATCCGGAGTCTGACTCCCTTCGTGCTGCTATTCCTACTGTCACGCGTCTCCTGGCCACTATTGTCACTGATCCTTCCTTTGAGTCCACTACTGCGTCTACCTTGGTTGCTGAGCTTGTCAACTTTGCTGCTCGCTGTCCTCTCGACTACGTCGCTAGTCTTGTTGCTGAGTCTGAGTCTGTCTGTTCTCCGTCTGTCGGGGGTGAGTGTGCTCTTGGCATGGACGTCCTTGAGGACAGGCAGGAGGACTTTGAGTGCTTTGCAGCTGCTGTACCTCATCTCGTGTCCATGCTGATTGCACCTGAGGGAGACCCGGATGCACCAGACATCCCGACCACGCGCTCTTATGCTGAGGCGATAGAGGGTCCCTACTCCTCTTAGTGGCAGTCAGCCATGGACGCAGAGATGGCATTCTGGAAGTCCATAGGCACTTACGTCAACAAGGTTTCCCCTTCTGGGGCGAACATCGTCAGTGGCATGTGGATTTTCAGGGTGAAGTGGCTACCGGATTCTCCGCCTGTCTTCAAGGCGCGTTACGTTGCTTGAGGCTTCAGTCAGTGACAGAGATTTGACTTCTTCCGGACCTTCTCCCCGACCCCGAAGATGACCACTCTTCTCGTTCTGCTGCACGTCGCTGCTCAGCGTGCCTACGAGCTTCACTCTCTTGACTTCAGCACTAGTTTCCTAGAATGCAGCCTACACTAGGAGATCTGGCTGTGCCGCCCACCTGGCTTCACTGGGTCGTTTCCTCCCGGTACCCAGTGAGGCCTCCGGCGGCCAGTCTATGGTCTGCGTCAGGTGCCCCGTGAGTGGCACGACACAATGAGGACTACGCTTGCGGCTCTTGGGTTTGCTCCTTCTACTGCTGACCCGTCGTTGTTTCTGCGCACCGACACTTTGCTGTCGCCGTTCTACATCCTCGTGTACGTCTACGACTTGGTCTTTGCCACTGCTGACGTTGAGGGACTCGCCCACGTGAAGTCAGAGCTGCAGAAGAGACACACGTGCACAGACCTCGGTGAACTGCGGAGCTATCTTGGCTTGCAGATCACCTAGGACAGAGCACGGTGCACCATTACCTTGACTCAGTCACACATGGTGCAGCAGGTCCTTCAGCGCTTCAACTTCAAGTACTCCTCACCTCAGGTCACTCCTCTGTCTACTCGCCACTCGCTCTCAGCTCTGCCTTCGGATGAGTCCGTAGAGCCGAGTGGCCCGTACCCAGAGCTTGTTGGTTGCCTCATGTACCTGATGATCTGCACTCGACCTGACCTAGCATACCCTCTTAGCATCTTGGCATGCTATGTTGCTCCTGGGAGACACCGACCAGAGCACATGGCTAAGAGGGTGTTGCACTACCTGTGCAGTACGTCGGGCATGGGGCTCGTGCTTGGAGGATGGGCTCGAGTTGTCCTCACTGGTCACGCAGACGCTTCTTGGGTTGACGACTTGGCTATGCAGCGGTCGTCACAGGGTTACACCTTCAGCCTTGGTTCCGGCTCTGTTTCGTGGCAGTCTACCTGCTCGTCTTCTGTTCTCGGCTCCAGTTGTGAGGCTGAGATCTACGCTGGGGCCATGGCTGCACAGGAGTTACGCTGGCTCACCTACCTGCTGACCGGCTTGGGAGAGGCGCCTTGTTCTCCTCTAGTTCTGTACGTCGACAACAAGGCCATGCTAGCGTTATGTCAAGAGCACAGACTTGAGCACAAAACGAAGCACATTGCTCTGCGCTACTTCCTTGCTCGAGAGTTGGAGCGGCGTGGTCAGCTTCGTCTTGCTTACGTGGCCTCTCCGGCCAACACTGCTGATATCTTTACCAAGGCACTTCAGCCTTGTGATCATCCACATTTCTATACTATGCTAGGTCTTCTGCCTATCGGGCCTCACTTGCTTACCTCTTGACTTTGTTTGTACTGTGATCTATACATAACTGCACCTGCATGCTTACCTTTGCTAGGTTGAGATAATTGTCTTGCTTGTTCACCTTGCTTTAAAATCATGCATGTGAACTGGCCTTGTGGCCTTGAACTGGTGCTCAGAATGTGTGGTGACGCTGTGATCCACCCTGAGCTTGACCTTGCCTTATTCTCTTGCTTGTCCCCCACTTTGCCTATGGGGGTGTATCAGAACTATATTAAGGTTGTAGTGGGGTAGACAATATGGGGTACAACTCTTTAAGGTTTTTGTACTTGTACCCACCTGCTTGCTAGTTCATTCATTCCTCATTATTATTCTCACAAGAGTGTAGTGCATAAGATCGGCGACAACGCTGCAACCTCCCCCGCTGTCACTAGTGCCAATAACCACCTCCGTCATTGCTCCGGGGCTGCATAGAACGCTTTGACCGCCATGGCTGCCTCATTCTTGTTGTCCAGCTCTCGGGTAATTGCTTCAACCATCTTAACCACGTTAGTGCCATCCCACTTACGAACCACCATGTAATGCATCTTCCATTTCCGCCGCTTTGTCGTATGTTTATGACCGCCAAATGGAGACTTCCCTCTGTACATATTATTTTTGTTGAGACACAGGTACTCCTCCTCTGCTTCTGACCGTGACGAAGCCTCTATCACTCGCATAGTCGCCAATGTCAGCACCACCTTCAACAACTTTGCCCATCTCCTACAATTGATCAGCCCTCCTTTGAGCACCACCTTGTGCTCGTATAGCATCGCCCACCTGAGCGACAGCCCCGCAGCACGCTCAGTCAACCCATGCCTGAGCAGGCACTCTTGTAGCAGTGCCAGCCCCACACACCTCAAGGCTACACTGTTTGTCCTCCCTCTTAGGTCCACCACGCCCAATCCCCCTTGCTCTCTCGGCGCGTATATCAAGCTGCCACTCCAAAGTCGGAAGTGCTTATCCTTATCTGGTCTTCATCCTCCTCGACGTCGTCGTACAAAAGGCCGTCATCGACCTCGTCGTACACCGTGGTGAAAGCAGCTGGTGGTAGGCAGGCATGGAAGCTCAGCTACTCCAGCGGCCGTCGAGCTCGACCTGTGCGTCGCAGCTCAGGCTTCGTAATCGGCACTTCCACCACGTCGCTGTCGGTAGACTCCTCACCCGTTGACTGCTCCCCTTCCTCGGCGACGTCCTCGTTGTCAACCAACTGCTTTGGCCCTTCTACCAGCTGCTCGCGTGCTGCTGAATTCGACAGCTCCCTTGTCGACCGCCCCGGCTGCTGCTCCCCTTTCGGCTGCACCGCTGCTGTTGCCTCCTGTTTGACTGGCTCCCCTGTCTGCTGCTCCCCTGTCGTCGACGGCTTCCCATCCTAGTCAACGAGTTTGGTGCCTTGTAGACCGCCGGCGATGCCATGGGCCGGCGCCACAGGCGCCGCCTCAAGGTTCCCCTCATCGTCGGTGGTTGACATAGGTGCTGACAGAGGCCGATCTGCGACGGGGAACGGAGGAGCAAGAATAAGGGGAGGGGGAAGAACCTCCACAACATCCTCATCAGTAGGCTCGTCGACTTCGGCGAGCAATGGAACCGCTGCCGTCGAGGTCTCCGTCGGCAGGTGTGCCTGTGCCCGCCCCGACGCCGGCCCATACTTTGCCTTCCACACCTCTAGCGACAACGTCTCGTAGACCACCTTATTGTCGGTCAGGTCGAGCACCTCCCAGCCCTTGCTCTCCAGCGACACCCCCAGGTAAAGCCCCCGACGAGCCTTCGGCGCCAGCTTCCCACCGCGCTGCTGCTCGGGAACCATGAACTGCACCATTCAACCCCACAGCCGCGCCGGCGTAAGGTCGGGCTTCTGCCCGAACAGTAGCTGGTACGGAGTCGTCCCCGGCGGCGTAGTCGACCGCTCCAAACAGTTGCGCACCGAGATAGCTTGTCGTAGAGCAAGGTGCCACCAGTGGTGCTGCACGCCCATGTGCAGCAGCATCGTCCGCACGGACTCGACGACCGTGCGCATCTCCCAGTCAGCCATGCCATTCTGCTGCAGAGTGTAGGGGCACGTCAGATCGTGAACAATGCCCTTCCCGTCGACGAAGCCGGTGAACGTCTTCCCGAGGAACTCCCCTCCTCGATCGGAGCGAAGCGACGGCACCGACTATTTCGTCTGTCGTTCCACAAGCACTAGCCACTTCTCGAACTCGCGCAGCACGTCGCTCTTCTTAGCGACTGGCATTGCCCATACAAACCGAGTGTGCCGATCCTTCAGCTACAGGAAGTACAAGTTGCCATCCTTGGCAGCCACCCGAAATGGCCCGCACAAATCAATGTGCACGATAGCTAGCGCCTC